AGCCAGATTAGCAGTTAGAGCGCTCCAGTCATAGCTGCTATGGAGGAGGTGGCCTTAAAGGGCAGGTAGATATAGTTAGTATTATGGGGCACTTCATGTTGATGAGACCCTCTATCAGAACAGGACGACTGGCATACATTCACAAACCAAGCTACATGTTGACAGGACCTCGGTTTTACAAGACTGTCAGGCAGTTATTGATCCAGGAAATTGTTGGTAAACTGCTGGGCTTTGCTAAATTGTGTGCTTGCTTGCTCGGTTTTGCCTACGTGAGTCTCTATAGAACAAGGGTCTTTGATTAACCCTAGTACGCCTGGTTACCTGCTCCTTTTATGGTCGCCATACATCATACTACTTTTTTGGCCCTTATGGGCTGATTTTCTACAGTTGTGCGAGATTTTTTATTTTTTTTGTATCAGGCCAGGTTTCATGTTGATTGTGTATTCTGCATAATGAAGTAGTATACATGGTCTAGTATACATGGAGTGACAACGGGCGAATAGCCTTTCACAACCATCTCCCAATCAGGAATCGTACAATGGGAGGAAAATCAGACATGTTTGAAATTTAATTCACTCTTGTGAGGAGATCATGAACGTATCCTACTGTTGAACCAGAGCTACGAGCATCTACTGTGCAAGAAAGGAAAATATTTTTCTTCTGTGACTTTACTTCCAAATACATAAGTCCGACCAGCACCAGCTCTCTCAGTCAGATCGCATCAGACCACCAGGCGCCATACACTGTTAGAACAGATATCATCAGCCGTGAACTTTTAAAACCTGCGGTTTCGTTGTTTAATTTGAGCGGTAACTGAGTACAAGAAAATATCATACAGTGTTTACCTGCCCTTAAATGTGTCTCTGCTTCCACAGACCTCCAGTATGTATCTCACACAGGTTTCTGCTGAACATTTTCCTATGTGAACAAACAATCTCATGGATTAAATTAGTTTATGCTGTCATCATAATTGTTCATCTGGAGCACATGAGAATCTGGTATCAGAAGGGCCTTATTTAAAATTTTCCTTAATACCTGAGGGAAAATATTTAGTTTTGGCTATAGTTAAAAATCTGTTAAAAACAACAAAAATAAGCTTGCAGCAAGTGGTAAAGTAAGACGACCTACTTCTAAACCAGTACTTTGAGAGACATATTGTTGCATATTCGTAAAAAAAAAAAAAATTACTTCTATTGGCATAAGCCACAGTGAAAAGGGCAGCTAGAACAAGTGAAATGAATTGCTGGAAACCAACATCACCCCTGTGGTGAAAAGTCCATTATAATTAAGAGTGAAGAATTGTAAAGGAGACATTATTTTGCTGACCAAGCTATAAATAAATGTATTCAGCTGCAGTTTTTCAGCTGTCAGGGGGTCTTGGCATTGGATTCCAGCTAATGGCATGTTAATAAACACAAAATAGTGGGCTGCTGGACCTCTGAGAGCAACTTTCATGTGTCTCCTGCACTCCTACACACCAAAGCAGTGCTCTGTAATATCCCATGCACCTGCCTCCATCAGCAGAAAGCACACATGGTGATATGAACAGCAATAATTTTGGTTGCTGAGGTTATTGCTTGTGGTTTATTAAATGATGCTATCAAAGCTGAATGAAAAAGTTGCATGTGAAGCAGCATCACCCTACCCTGGTCCTGGTACAGAAAACATGAATATAATTCTGCATAGTTAAAGCCAAACAAGTTCTGACAGCTTAATCTACTTCCCTGCCTCTCGTTACCCACACAAAGGGACAGATGTTGTCCGTTTTTTCATACAGTTTGTCCTTTCCCATGAGAAAAATTATAACCAGCTGCTCATTTTCCAGCTGCAGACATTTTGTTTAGTGCTTATGGATGCCTAAATGCACGCATCCTCTCACACAGATACACATATGCATCTCATAGAAACAGTCCGCTTTTGCCCTGAAGGTTACTTACTTTGGAAGGAATCCAGCAGAGGCTTCTGACACTGTTAATTGCGTGGTGTTAATCAATTAGAAGACATCTGAATGAGCTAGGGGCCATAAGTGTTCTGTCATAAAGTTCACAAAAACAAACAAGGATTCTGGTTAACAGATGAAGGTGATAGTAACTTTTGGCAAGCAATGTTTTATTTTCAAGCTGAACAACGATAGAATGGAAATGGGTGTCTCTTCTATGAAAGTATAAAAGTTATGTTTTATTTAATGTAAATTTCTATCCAAAATTTTTTTTTTTTTTTAGTTTCTGCGACTTTATATGTGATTGTAACTTGCGTCAATGTATACTAAAACTAAACATTCTAGCATTCTAATCTAATATTTTTATACATTGTTGCTCCTCCCTGACAGTCAGCTGGCAGAAAGAAGACTACTGCCCTTTTTTTTGCTTATAGGAAAAATAAACTCGGCTTTTTGGATATTTTTTAAAGGATTTTTCCAGCAAGCATCGGGCAGAAATAAATAAGCATTACCTGTGACTGATATTAAGGTAATCTTGTTTTAAAACTGTAGTTATCAACCTACATGCATTGTGTGTTATGTTGGTTTGTATTTATTTTTCACCCACAGGCAGAAACACATAGAGAACCATGGACTTTTAATTTGTATTTACAAAAGCAACAAGAATCTAGAAACGGAGAACTGCAGGACATCAGTTGAACTTACTGGTTGGTTTGAGGGGAGAAAGCAGACTGATCAGGAAGGAGATGGTTGATGACAACTGATGACTGATTGATTTATTTACTTGAGAGATGAAGGGAAGGTAGCATGGATCTGTAGGGGTTTGATTCAGTTGGTGTTATAGAGTGATGGTGATGCAGGCAGGCAGGTGATGAAGATAGAGAACTGATGCGGACAGGTAAGACCTTCTCCATGAAGATCGGAGAAGAACTGAGGTTCACTGGCTGTCGACAGGGGTAATCATCTGGTGAAGAGAGATGATCCTTTGCCGCCTTATTTACACGCTACTCATCTTCTTTGAGAAATTTTCTCAGGTGTGCAGCCAAACTGGTCAGCTCAGCCACCAGCAAAGATCCTTGGTGACAGGAAGCTCACTCACACCAGAAAAACAGCAAAACCCCAGAGGCCATTACAATATGTCTGTTAAGCAACCTGTATCTGTAAAAACACAATACTTGCAATAAATGTAATGAATAAATGTGCTTAATATACACTTGAAAATTATACATTAATTTATCTGTACTTTTTAGATACAGAGATATTAAAAATAACATTTTCAAACTGTAAAGATCGATATGGTGTAGGCTATTATAGAAAACAAAACTGTGATTGTTGCTTTTTTCTGTTTTAAACAGAGTACATGATTAAAAATAAAAAAAAGTTAAGATTAATTTGTTGTATTATTTTAACAAATGTAGCAGTCATTGTTTTTAGTTGAAAAAAAAAAATCATACAGTTTTAATTTTTGTTCCAAGTAATGCTTTTGATTTCCTCAAGCCTCTTATATCAGAATCTTATAAAGGAACATGTTTAATGTGTACTTGGCATTCATGCTTCCCATACATTTTAAATAGGCAAGCCAGTTGATCTATATTGTCAGGGTGAGGTGTTTCTTGGCTCAGTTAAACTCAAATCTCTGAACACCTACCATCTGCTCGGGTTGACCAGCCAACGCCTGGACTGCTCATCTTCTGCTGGCTGCTGTTGTTTATGTTTTTGCTAACCCCTGGCAAGTGAATAGGGTTTGATTGTGCATCTTCTCAAGTTCAGCTCCAGTTCACTGAATGACTCGCCTGTTTTTTTTTTATCCAAGGTTGCCCCAAGCTAATGACCAGTAAAGAGTTTTGGTTGCAAAGCATAATTAACTGAATGCCCAAGATGTGTTTGGTGTTTATGTTTTAAAAGCTTTTTAATGACCATAGCAGATCCTGTGAAATCTTTTTTTTTTAGAAGCTTTCATTTGAGGAAGGACTTTGAATAAAATTCTAAAGAGAGCACATTTCCAATATCTTGGGAAATATGGAAGTTCAGTACATACAGTTTTAGGTTATTTTTTTTTTTTACTCTTGATTGTGTTATTTTTCAAACAGTTAATTAGATTCATTTTTTGTTACAGATGGAGATGTATATATATATATATATATATATATAAATAAATATACATATATTATGTTTTGCTGTTATTTGTGGTGAGAAAGAATAGCAATGCTGACCGTGCTTTGTTTTTGTGCAATATACAAGCACCACTAGCAGTAACATAAGCACCATTTACACTACCCTTTTGAAACCGTGCCGAGATCGGTCCAAGCACTGTAAGTGAGATAACTGTTCAGTGTAAATGGCACGCACAACTGAATGGAACCTCGCCAGACACAACCAAACCGCATTAACATGGTACTAGTTCATCAGTTCTGGCTCGGTTCTCAGGTAAGAAAGAGTGCATGAGCAGACGGCAGCGTCATCTACACTCGGCCTCCGTGAAATAAAGAAATTCATCATGAAATTTCAGACATTCAGAAAAATACAAGCTTCTCCACCGTGCCACGCAATTTCCAGTGATGATTCTGCTTAGCAGTACGATGAACCTCAACTCCTGTCTGTAAGCCCTGATTAGACTATCCTTTGTCGTATCCACTTCCCAAAAGCCGACTCTGTCAAGTAAATTACCCAAAAGCTGCATTCTTTGCCTGAATCTCAGCAAACGTCTTGAATGTTACGGGCGCCTTCATGTTGGTTTGCTTGTTTACCTCTAGAGAGCAGTAGTATTGTAGAGACGAGAAACTGTGCTAGCGTGGTGTGTAAAAGATTGTAAAGAACCAAGCTCGGCACTGATTATTTTCGGAGGGTAGTGTAAATGCGGCTATAGACCTTCACAAGATGGTTGCAGCCCCATGCTTGACAGTTGTTATGCTAGGTTAAAGCCTCACTGATGTTTTGTTGTTGTTTTTATTACACTTGAATTGCCCTTCAATCTAAAAAAAAAGTAAACATTTGATTGACTCATCCACATAACCAATTCTTCAGTGACACCCAGTATCTTGCTGTTTTTATCTCTTTTCAGGAGACTATGTAGTGCTGACTGTCTTTTTTGACCTGAGCAGGAGAATGGGCTACTTTACCATCCAGACCTACATCCCATGCACACTTATTGTTGTCCTCTCCTGGGTGTCTTTCTGGATCAACAAAGATGCAGTACCTGCAAGGACCTCACTAGGTATTTAAACAAGATAAATGCTCGCTGACCGCATTAGCTGTGAAAGTCAAACTTACATAATGTATAATTTTCTCTGTGTTTACCAAGTGTTAAAACCTTAAAGTCCAATGTAATATTCTAATATTATATTGGGCAAGTCTATCTTGGCCTTAATAACCCCCTTCTTTGCAATGCTTCTAGAGCAATGTAGCATTTATAATTCAATATTCCTGCAGCTCTCTTCACCTTGTTCCCTTCTTTCGTATTTTCAAAATCCCTTCTCCTTTTTTTCCCCCCTTTGGGACAGTGCAGCATTTTAGAAATATTTTTTATCCTGCGAAGACGAGCACATTCTGAGACATATGTTTGCATACATGGCTTAATTAGGCATTAATTATGCAATAGAAGTTGAGAAATGTGGAGCTGCTCCTTCAGCAAATACAGGTGACTTCTTTGCAGGCTGTTTAAGTGTACACAGGATGGAAAGAAATATAGGACAAAAATGACATGCTCATGGAAAATTGCCAGCTTTTAAACATGTCCTTGACATCCTAAGATGCAGCTTGTGATTCACATGCAAACACATCCCTTTGTCAACTCTTTAATTAGTCCCATTAAGTTTTTTTTTATTGTCAAATCCAGGAGGTAATTAAATTAATCTAAACAAAAAACCCTATGTGCTATAAAACAAAAAAATCCATACTCTACCTTTTTCTAACTGCTGCATCATATCCTTCTAAACCTTTATTTTTACCCGTCCACCTTTAGACACATTGTGCTTGTAGTAATATAATAGTAAGAAAACAAATCAATCATTATCTTTGGCTATTAAAAGATGATGTAGGAGGTACATAATGCTTGTCTATTTCGAAGCACATTAACACATGTGACATAACTCTTAATCCTTCAATGCCAATCTAAAAATATATCAGTTTACACAAAATGCTACTGCGTTAATCTTAACACAGAGGGATTTCGCTAAGATCACATTAATTTTATAAATAAATCCTCTTCAATAAATATCAAGCATTTCTTACAGGGAAGAGATGGTGTTATGCTTGGCTGTTGATACAGCGGCTGTGGCATAATCACTTATAAATGTCTATTTAAACATTTACTTTTCATGCAACAACCTCTGCCTCTATCAAGATCATCAATAAAGACTGGTATAGAAAAGAAAAAGTTTTCAAAACAGCTTTGCAAGAGTAAAACAAAAAACAGTGGCAAGTGTGATGTAGTCTTTACTAATTTGGAATGATCAACCTAAATAGATACTTTAAATGCTCAGGATAATACCTTACAAATACAAAGGGATACACATATTACAAGTGAAGTACTTTTAATTTTTATATTCTTCACACACCATGTTTCATAGGACTACCAATGCACTGTATATGCTTTATAAACAGGTTATCTGTAAATGTTGCAGTTTGTCTCATCCATAAAACCATTACATGTAAAAAAAAAAAAAAAAAAAAACATTAAAAAAAAAGAGTGAAAATTAGTTCTAAGTTTATATTTACCGTCTTTTATAGCTCATACAGGAAGGTTTTCTAAACGGTTAATTAATTAAAATGGGTCTCACAGAGGCATTTTGGTACAAACACATAAAAGTGTAATAACTTTTTTAAATGTACATTTATTAAAAAACACATAAAAACCAACTAGGTGAATATCTCTGTGTTGCCCTGTTTTTGACTTTATTGGCCTTTTGCAGATGCAAAGTGTTGCCCATTGGCCAATTTAGAGAGATACCAGTACCCTGTGAGTCGTCATACTGCTGTTTGAAATCACCAATTATTTGATTAAACCTAATAAAAATATACATTTTTATTGTTGATAGAAAGAAGAAGAAGAAACCCCTCTATGCGAAATTAAATACATTTTGGAAGAAGGCTAAAGGAGTTTAAAATGCCTCTAAATTTGTATTTAATTGAAGAGAGATGTTTGTAAGTTGTGTTAATGTTTATACATATATTATACCTATTTAGCTTCTGTTTCATATTTTGGATGTGGTGTTCATAATTTTGACCCCCTTTCAAATTACCTATCTATTTTTTAACCGCCCCAAATAAATATGACTAAAATAAACAAAATTTAACTGACTACATTGACCATTGATTTTAGGGTCTGTTGAAGCCATAATTTTTTCTGCCTTTCTGAAATACATATTTTCGTTCCTGTTATAAAAAACATATCCTATAATAAATGCAAATGGTTATTAATATGTGAGGTTTAAATGTATGTATGAGAAAGCTAAATATGTCCATATGGATGATCAAATATGTGGGTAAAAAAGGCTGTTTAATTTAGATTCCTTGTATTTTGTTTTGAAATGCATTTTTTTGGCTAAATGTTTTTTATTTTTTCACTTTAATTATCTTGATGGCTTATTAAATTAACCATTAATCATTTGGTGAGGGTTTTTACTGATGTAATAAGTGTGAATGATAATGGGGTTAAAAGATTTTGGAAAGGTGTTTAGTGCCATTGTATTAAAAAATATGATTTCTCCTTGCTGTCTTTGCCAGGCATCACCACTGTGCTGACTATGACCACACTTAGTACCATTGCCAGGAAATCTCTTCCTAAAGTGTCATACGTGACTGCAATGGACCTGTTTGTGTCCGTCTGCTTTATTTTCGTCTTTGCTGCACTCATAGAGTATGGCACGCTGCATTACTTTGTCAGCAATAGGAAGCCAAGTGCCAAAAAGGACAAGAAGAAGAAAAACCCGGTGAGTTCCTTCTAAAAGCTAGCAGTAGATTTGTATTTCTAAATTGATATTGAGGAATGTGTATTGTCATTTTTGTTTTGTTTTCTTGCATCCCTTACATATAGTTATTTGAATAGGCTTTAAAGAATTATTATACACTTTTTCTAATGCATTGGTCTTTCTCTAAAGCTGCACTCAGTAGGTTAGGTGGATACTAAATTTTCATAATCCATCACACATCTGTAACAGTTGGATTTTAGACCAGGGTCATGTGGTATGTGTTGGCCTTAAATGAGCTCTAAATCCCTCAAGAGATCATGTCAAAATGAAGGTTTAAGCTCTTGTCAAATATTTTACAAAGATCTTTAATCTCCCCCCTATTATTAAGTCTATATGCAAAGGATATGAATAATATTTATTTCAAGGCAGCAATTTGAAACTTAAAGAATGAATGCTCTATGCTTGTATAGCTGATTGGGGTACAGATGTTCTGAGTAGGAAAGAGAGAGAAATAGGCACAAGGTAGAGCCCATGTATTTTTGTACTCCTTTTAAAGTTTTCCTAAGTGGTCTACCATCTTTAATGGTAGAAAGGGAGAAATAAATTAATACATAATGCAGAGGCTTATTAATATTTTTTCGTGACTTAAAAATAAATGTTTAACCCTAACTTACAAAGACTCTCTCTCACAAAAGTTCTGATGTTGCCTTAGTTCCTAATATAGATAGTCAATGAGCACAGAAATACCCAGGAGGCTTGGAAAATATATTGGACAGTATTAGCTGTAGTTTGCAAAGCGCAACAGAAATCAGCTAAAATCACTATTAAAAGTTCGAGGCTTCACAACAAGCACAGAACTTGGTACATCTCAAGTATAAATGTTTGATTTTTACCACATGAACTAAATCTGTCTTATTTTTTCTGATTTCTTTTCTCCTGAGTAGAAAAAAAGATAGATTCATACTAATCAAGATGGATCGTCAATTTTAAAGCTGTCTTTCTGCAGTGTATGTCATTTCCATAAGACCTGTAAAATATCTAAGCTGTGTCTCTTATTATATTTGTGTCCCCCTTTATTTCCCTTCTAACTGTTTTATAATTCTCTGTTTTAAAAATATGTGTATATACATCCCTTTGTTTCATTTTGCTTTGTTTCTCCCATATGGACAAAAGCTCCTCCGGCTCTTTTCCTCTAAGGTATATTGCCTGTGTCCAACTGCATGTGTCTGCTGCATTTCAAGTTTTTTGGGCCCCTGGCACCTCACTGCTTTTCTCTCTGCGCAACAGCAGATACGCCTCTCTCTATTGCCACATATATCTGCATTCCAACTAACTGTGCACCTCCTCATTTACTAAATGGGTATTGAAGATTACATTGAAAGGGGCGCTTAGCAGTGCACAGTGCGGAGGCAGCCAGCCAGACATACTTATGCAGTTTCTTTCTTTGTTTGTTTTCTTATGAAACACTAACAGGCATATCACATATCCTGTGGTCAAAAATGTTTTAGTAAAGAGCCCCATGTGGACAAATTCTGGCTTCCTCTGTCCTGTTTCACTCTTTGTTGTTGTTACCATGGTGAACAAGCAGCCAAACCAAGAGCTTCCTATTTTCTCTTTTCCTTTTTCTGTCAGTCAATTTTTCAGTGTGCTCATTGGGCTTCTTAACCTGACACTTCCTAAAGAGTCAGCAGAGCCTTAACAGACTGAAACAGACAACCCATGCACTGTATAATGGTACTTTGATTTGGAGGAAATACTGAAGTAAAAGTTTAAATCTATATAAAAATGACCTAAAGCATGTGAGTATATGAAAATTCTACTCTTTTTCAATAGCTTCTACATCTTCTATTAAACTTAAAGGGATATATTTAGAATGCATAAGCTTTGTCCAATCTTTCTAAAAGATAAAAACATAAAGTAAACATCATTTGTGAATCATGTAGTGCGTAAAATTATGTTTTCTTCAATTCTGAGCTTGTTCCTGGTTTTATTATCTAAAGCGGGTTGTGACTTTCAGCCGGTTAAAGCTGTCGGTGCCACTACGCTGGTTCTATTTTTTACTTTTTCTCATTTTGCAAACACCTACGCAGCCTATCCCAGCTTGACCAGGTCATACAGCAGGACAGTGTTGCTGTTTCTCCTGCTTGAGTTCCCACAACTTTTCCCTTAGCAACCCGCTTTTAAAACTCTGTCATAGACTAGTACTGCTACTCCCTTCATTAACGTACCACAATGTTTTCCCTTAATCAGAACATAGATGCCTTAAGTTACTGTGCTTTTTGTTACTTACTTCTTTGCTTACTTTTGTGGTTATGTACAGTTTTCAAAGGGAGAGCAGGTTTTTGACTGGGCATAATGAGAAATTTCAGAGAGTTAAATATTATTCAGGTGATGCTTGCATCTAATATATTTAAACCTTAAATATATTAGAAGCATATGTGTTAAATATATAGCAATGCCCTCTATTAATCTTATTTATTTTCTTTTACAGTCATGTTTGTGTAAAGATAATGAACAAATTATATATACAGGAAATAATTAAGTTTATTCTACCTTGTTTTGGAATTTCTATTTTATAAGGAAAGTTGTAAAGGCTGTCTTCACACCAGATAAAATTTGCACTACAACATTAGAAATCAAACAGATTGTCAATGGTTTATGATGGATGTTAGACAGCAGGGTAGTAGATGCACCATAACACTTTCCCCTTTACACCCAAATGTGAGAGTTATCAGACATGCACAAAACTTCCAATTTGACAATATAGTGATACCTGATCATGGTATTAGCATATCTAGGAAGCACCATAGAGTCTGAAAGCTCTATTGGGGCTTTATTGATGACATGTGGCCTATCTGCACAACAGAGGATTAGTTTTCAGGAGATTGTAGGCAGGATTGAAAATGTGCCAGTCAATTCCATTTAAAAATGCATTCTTGATACCATAGGGAAATTAAATAATAATCATTGTGCATTCTTCTAGCTAGCAAGCTAATACTAAAACTGTGACTAGATTGTCATAATGGATAATCAGCAAAGTTTGTGAAACAAATCTATGCCCAATTACTCACTAAACCACAAGAAAAAAACTGAACAAACGCTATTTGGCCAAAGAACAGACCACCCTGACTTTAGTATGGCCTGTTCATTAAGAAAAGAAGACACAAATCTAAAAAAACAAAACTTTTTATTGAGCCAGCTCAAGCAGCCAAGTCAATTAGTGGCTGATGGCTAGTATTGCAGTGAGAAGCAGGTGGATTGAGCAGAACAGTGCGGGGAAATATTCACAGGAAAGCAACTTTTTCATGCAGCCGGAGGCACTAGGCCCTTGCAAATGTTACGACTGGTACTTCAGGTGCACCACGAAAAAGAAAACACAAAACAGGTGAAAATAACAAAAAGATCTCCCACATATGGGGGCCCATCATAAAACAAAAACCTCTCTGCATCAAACATTTAAGTTAATGAAAACAGTTTAGAACACCAAATATCTCTTTTTGTATAACTATAAAGAAAAGTGTGAAGTTGCAAAATAAAAATACAATAACCAGAGAATGCAGCATTTGTGGCTTACTGAGGTATTTTTTCCCTGTGCTTTTAGTGTCATACAGTTGGTTTACTTCCTACTCGGTACTATCACCTTGACAATCTGTATTTAAAATTCAAACTGCTCCAGAACTTGTCAGGTTCTAAACATTTCCAAATAAGTTTTTTTTAATCTTTTTTTATCTAATCGCAGAGTCTGATTACTCTACTTATAACTTTTTGTTAGAAGTTTGAGATTTGAAAATTACCATAAAGAGTATTTTTTTGTTATAATGCCTATGATGGGAAAAGTTATTATTTAGTGAGGGCATTGGCATACTTTCGGAACACGCTATGATAACAAAACCTTTTTATTATAGAATATGGGAGACAGAAAGTTAAAGAAATATTATTTTTTCTTTGTCAATCATTTAGGTCAAGGCAAATGTTGAAGTAGTCTTGATGGTTGCTCATGAATCAATATAGTCAGACATTTTTCTAGTGTCCAAAAGGTGACAGTTGCACTGTTCTAATCAGGGAAATGCACTGACAAAATGTGATATACATTCATGTTTTACTTTATTAATTTTGCTTCAATAATGATGTTATTTTGTCTGTTCATCAGCTTTCTTCCTGCCTATTCATTGTGATCGGTGCTCCTATAAGAACTCATCCTTTTTAACATGAATGTGCACATATCCAGAGTCAGCAACCCTGGGTTTACTTATATAACTAAAAGCCAGCTGCTGTTGTCAGACATCCATTGTTGAACTAGATTTTTCTAACAATTCTTTATGTCTGTCGGTAAAGATCACTTCCATAGGCACTGAACACAGTTACAGGCGCATGACTTCAGCAAAACAAAACTAGTGTATTGTTTTTTTGTTTGTTTGTTTAATTACAAATTCATGACCAATTAGATACTAATTTTAAATATTAAAAAATTTGCTACCACTACTAATTTTTACTTCCAGAAGAGCTAAATGAATATCACAGGGCTAAAAAAAAAACATTTATAAAAAGTTGTTGGAAGGTAATACTGACATAGATGGTGCCTAAAAAAAAGCAGGATCCATAAATAAGAGGGACTGCTTTTGATGTCAGCAAATGTTAATTTGACATTATATGTGCAACAGAAGCTATTCACTAAATACAGAAGTTGTTAGTTATGGGTCTCCTTGTATTTGTTACATTGCTTATTTTTGCCAAGTTAGTCCAAGTTGTCAGTAGTGGCTTTCAGCAGAGTTTGAATAACATGACTTTAGTGGTTAACTCTCAGTTTGTCTTAAAGCAGACACCAACGGTGGACATCCGTCCGCGCTCGGCTACGGCAATCCAGATGAACAATGCCACACACATGCAGGAGAGAGATGAGGAATATGGCTATGAGTGTCTTGATGGAAAAGACTGCACCAGTTTCTTCTGCTGTTTTGAAGATTGCCGCTCTGGAGCCTGGCGGCATGGAAGGCTGCACATTCGAATCGCCAAGATAGACTCATACGCACGCATCTTCTTCCCTACTGCATTTGCTCTCTTCAATCTGGTCTATTGGGTCTCCTATCTATATCTTTAGACATGGGGTCTTCCCAGCTAGTCCATCACCATTTTCTGTATGCTCAGTGCCAGGAAGTGACATTTTACAAAAAAACAGATCCACTGAAATATCCCAAAATCTGGTCTGACTTTATTTTATTTCTGTTAAGTCCCTTTAAATTTCCACAAGTTTTTAAGATAACCTTGACAAACATTGCACATACTGTAGCACTGAATTTTATTTGTGTGGTATAGTTTTATTGTACTTATGATGCAAAAGCATTGGTCCTGCGAGGGATTACTATGTTTTACTTTTTTAATGTATCTGCATTCCTCTGAAAGATGTAATTAAATCATGCAGAATTTATTTGCCATTGGCCCTGTTTCCTGTAAGACATTTATGTATTACAATGGAAAACAACAAATGTGTTTTTTTATTGAAAGTGAAAATACATAATTTATTGATAATTTAAATAAAGTGAAACAGTAATTTCTCTTATTTCAATTACTAGATGTAAAACAACATTACAGTGAAACATATTTTTTTTTATTTTAATGCAAAAAATGTGTAAAGGATCTCAGTGTAGCCAGTTATGTCTTGACTATGACCATGTTGAAACAGTTAGTTTAATATTTTTTCACATTATTTTTTTATTCACAAAGGCATCAGATCTGAGGCACTTTAAAAGAGCTATGTTTAACTTTGAAAAACTGATTATCTAAAGCAAACAATTTCATGAGCAGTCAGAGTACAAAAAGGATTTTTATGTATAGAATCAGCTGTATAAACACTGTATATATATTCTATTGTTAGATTTAGGGTTGCTTCCATTGCATGCACCTTTCAGGCCAAACAATCCCAGCATATCTTATGGTCTTCTACTGTTGACTATGGTAACTACAAAAGAAACAAAAAAAAAAAACTATTTTGACTTTTTTCTATAAAAACGTCAAATCTTAAAAAAGCTCTGAAGATATTTTTATTATAAGAACTACCTTTGCAAACAGGAGAGAAGATCAGCACAGTGTTTCAGCAAGAATATGTGGCCATCTTTATTTGTTCTTAAAGGTACTCATTACATAAACTTGTTGGTATACTTAAACTACTCAAAAGATCAAAAAGCAAAGAAACTAATTGATCCAATTGATAGTTGCACAACCAGAAATTATGATTATGTTTTCAAATTAAGCATTCAAAAGTAATCTATGTGTCAATGTAAACCTATGTCCAGACAGCTTCAACCTAATTAGAAACAAACAGCAGGTATACTTGCCATCCTTTAGAGAAGTACTTATAGTTATTACAAGCTGCTTTTTTAGAACAAATATGTAGAATGTGTTTTCAATCATCTTGTCTCTGTGCTAATCACATTGAGATTATGAGTTTCTGCAAACAGCCAAACAAAATTACATTTTTCAAGAGGTTCTAAAAGGCCTTTATTCCATGGTCTTTATTTCCATTAAGGTTTGCTTGAATGTGTGATGAGAGCAAATGCTGTACTTGGCTACATGTAATGCACTGTAACCCCATACCACTCAGTTCTGTTAAACATCAGTATGCAAATGACTGTGCTGCAATATGATTTGTAAACTCATAAAGAACGGGTGTAAATAACAATGGCTATGTACATACAATTATAAATGGAAGAAAAACATTTGTCAAGTCTTTGGCATTTTCTAAAAGGGTATATATATTTTGTAATTGTAACATTATTACACTATATCAATCAGTACTATAATATATTTATTGTTTATGCGTGAATGACCATGCAACATACTTGATGGGGGAAGGGTTGATAGGATTGTGCAAATGAGTTATTTATTTATTTATTAATATACTGTTTATGGTATCATTTTTTGATTCTTAAAAAACGCTTATGCTCATATAGCCCCAATAAAAGAAACACAGAATGCTGTCATCTATATCAAAGAGACATAATTGTTCCGTGTGTCTATCAAACTTGAGCCTATTTATCTTGTGTTTTCTATGTTGTGATCTATGTACACTACTCCCACAAAGGCCTGTCAAACTGTTCTATTTGTTGAGTGACTTGCAACCTTATACGTTGTGCTGCTTTTGAACTTTAGATTCTGTTTAGACAAAAAAATATTCTCACTGACATTTATTCAGTTATTATTATTCAGTTATTTGCTTTGGTAATGGGTTTTACCAATTCAATGTGACTATGAGCTTACATGTGTACGATTTACAGATCATATTTTCCATACTTCATTCCCAATTGTGGAATGGCAATTCTACTGTGTTCCACTTAGTAGTTTTTTTAGTTTCTATATACACCATTTCTCACATCTTTAGGAACATGAGATTGTTTATTACCAATAATCACAGTGCCAAAAATTGAGATACATGTGTATAAAAAAATACCTAATACCAAAAAATACCAAATAGCTTTGGAGTTTGAAACTGACCTATATCTCAAGTTCTCTTGAATTGTAATCTTTCTGTTATAGTTTACTCTCGATTTCTTTCAACAGTGGTATAATTTAAAATTAACGTCAAGCAAGTAAAATGGACTAAATGAGACCTTGAGAAAATTAAACTAGTGTCAGAGGTTCAACTGGAAGACATTTCTGCCTGAGGATAAAGGTCTAGTGCTTTGGATGTCAAGGTAAAGGTTGAGACCTTTTCATACTATGCTTCAAATACTTCCCTTGATAACCTCCAAATGCAGAGATTTAAAGAGTATTAAAGCATTATGTATTGAGGCAGGTTTACAGTTCGAAGCATGCTTGCTGAATGAATTATTACTCAAAAATATTTTGAAGGACTGGGTCTCCTCCATATGCTTTTAATCCATTGTTTCCATAAATGTCAGTCTCTCTCTCTTTTTTTTTTAACAATGTGATGTTAACTGTTTTGGGACCAATGTGTAGAACAAAGTACATGAGCAGCACATGTAGATATTTTGTGTTGTTATCAATGTTATAAAATAAAAAAGAAGCACTGGACATGCTGGACTTGTAAAAGACATCCAAAGCTAAAATAATTCTGTTGAGATTCTCATTCATACAACATAAGTTGCTTTGTGTTTTTATCTGATTATTGTGTTGAAGGGTCACTGATATAGCACATAGTTGTGATTTTTTTTTATAATAAAATGATTGCTTTTGCCTGCATGCAGTTGGCTGTATTCATTCTTTATATTTTTCAAACGTATTTAGGCTACTGGTATGATTACATTTGACAAAGCACTTGGCATCAAGAAAGTAATTTTTTAGCAATTAGTTATGTTACAGTCTTATTTCAAATGGTATTAAACATTCTAGACACAACACCCTGTTATGAAAACATACTTTTATTTTTGACTGTTGGAAATTTACTAGACATAGAAAACCAAGAAATCTCATTTACACAAGTATTCACAGCCTTTGATGAATCCTTGGTTTTTCCACCTTTGGTACCAATCAAAACCTAAAATCTTTCTAAAATGTGACGCCACCAGCTTAGCATACCTATCTTTCAACATTTTCGTTTATTCTTTGTAGTTCTTCTGTAGATCCCAAAGGTTGAATGGGAAACATCTGGGCGCAGCTGTTCAATTGGATTAACGTCAAGACCCTGGTTTGGCAACATCAGAACATTCACCTGGTGAATGTGAAGCCCTCCTTTGAGATCTTGGCTGTAAACTTAGGATCATTGTCTATATAAAAATGAACCATGACTCCAATCTGAGATGAAGAGCACTCTTGGGCATGTTTTCATTCATAATGTCTTTGTTCCTGCATTGATTTTTATCTGTATTTTGATAAGTCTGTCAGTTCCTGCAGCTAACAAATATCCCCATAGCATGATGCAGGCCCAAGCATGTTTTGCTGAAGGTATAGTATTGGCTTGGTGATGAACATTGCCTGGTTTCTTCACAGCAATGATTGTCCAATCAGAACAGAGATTTTTGTTGCTCATTTTCTGAGTCTTTCAGGGGTCTTTTGAAAAACTCTGTACTGGCTGCTATGTTTCTCTCATTAAAAAAGGCTTTCTTCTGCCCACTACCATAACAGGGTTTATACAGTTATATAAGTAACTCTTATTTAATGCTTTTTAATACTCTTAGAAATAATCTTAATACCATCAACAAGTACCCATGACTTATATATATATATATATACACACGGCAAAATCCTTCGCCATCTTCATCATGGACAGGCTGCAGCCATGCCCCGAGTTCCTCGTTTTCCCACCACTTTGGTTCAAATTTGCATTTTCCCCATTCTCTAGCCTTTTCTCTGCCTCAAGCTTCTTTTCCGAAGCATTTTAATGCCACAATTATCAAATTTAATGAATTTTAATGCCAATTAAGGCCTTAATTAAAAAAATAATCATTTAATGACTTTTAATGATTTTTAATGACCCGCGGAAACCCTGCATACAGGCCCGATTTGTGGTCTTCTCTCCAAGGAGAAATGCGGATGCTCTGTAATCACGGGGTTCTCAGGGCCAATCCCAATACACCCCCTAGCACTGCTTTTCCTCCCTAACCCTAAGTTTGTGCGTTCCTGTAAAGGCAGTGCTGTCCCAATTGCTCTTTGCATGTAGGGTAGCTGACATATTTGGGGGAATGAATCTAGCCCTTAAAAACAAGAGATTACAGATGCTGACTTGTCAAGAAAGGAGACAATTTCTCAGAAAATATTAAGGACAGGAATTCAACAGGTTAAATCAAAGTTCTTTTTATACTTTTGAAAGCCAAACAAAGCCATCAGCATGCCTTGGTTAGGAGGCAGGGTAAGACATTGTTCTTGAACTCAGACAGGAGCAGCAGGAAATCAGTGCGAGATACGTCAGAGTCCACCAAACCAGGAGAAGCCGCCAGCGATGCTCATATTTAGAGATAAGGAACTATATCTGTAGAGCCTGCCTTGAAAACAGCACCAGAGCTAGGCTAGGCTATGGCTAGCCTGAGATAGCGATAGAGTCTAACTATGGAAGATTGAAGGAGCACAGAACGCCTCATCATGGATCCGGTTCTGTTTCTGCCTGTGTCCTTGCAATGATTTTCCTGCTGCTCCTGTCTAAGCACCAGAACGCTGTCTCACCTACCTCTGTTAGGGATAATCTAATGAATACAAAGACACAGACAGCAATGGCTTTTTTAAATTTTTTTTGCATCCTTCCTAGAATAACCAGATCTAAAAAAAACAATTACAAAAATACACGTAGGACGCTTACAATGGACAATGTGGAACAGATGCGGCTTTTTGGATAAGCAGTTCTTTAGTGACTAGCCTTTACAGGGTTGCTTAACATCACATTCACCTTGTATTAAATATAAAATTAGTGTGTAAACTTCACAAAAAGCTCTCTTCTGTCACTGGCCTCACCAAGCCAAAACCGTTTCACTGTTTCTTTTGTTGATCCATAGTTTCCACCCTATTTTCCATTAATATCCTTTACCTGGACTCTATTGAGAAGACAGTTACAGCAGCTTAGTCATGATGTGGTGCACTGGCACAGCCCTATGAAAATGATTGGAGATCTGCCCTCTCTGCTTTAAGGAAAAAGGGATGGCAAATATTTTCTTTTTTTCTTGATCTTATTTTGACCTAGTCAATGCAGGATAGGATGGTGGGACAGGTGAAACATATGGTACTTCTGCATAAATTGGAAGATCGGATTACCTTAGTCATATGCCAGATTGGTGCCTCAAGTCGATCATTCCTCTCAAGAGTAGGGGGTCGCAAGAGGATTTTCAAAATCAGCATGTGCCCACTAAACAGTCAACGCAGTCTTACACCCAACTTGTCAAAAATTGATCCTTAGTTTATGTGATGGGTCCCCCCCCCTCATTTATTGACACACAGAAAAAAGTCTGACTCAACATTACAAGATTTCAAGTACAAGTCCACCTTTGTTTGCTGAGCATATTATTATTATCATAACTCTTAATTATCACTTACATTTTGTTAATACTTGAGTCTGTACTTGGCATCAACAAGTGCTAAAATGTCAGAACTTGTACTCTGACTTCGGTAGTGGTGCGTTCCTAATGAATGGTATAATGCCAATTATGGCCATTAGTATCTTTAGGAAGGTTTAACAAAGCCTGAGACATCTCACTGTCAAAAATGCACTTTCAGATCTTATCTATATGTCAAAAAAGGAACAGCTGCTGTAACTGTGCAGAATAGGTGCTAAAAGAGCCCCTTTGTCTCAATGGTGAGCAGAAGTAAGGATAAGAATGTTTGGGGTTTGGTTTGGACTTCACACTTGTGTTATTTTGAAAATGTATCCTTTTTATTTACCTTTGGAACGTCATATCCATATCCTCATATCCTTCCTTGTTCTGCCTCTCAACTACTGAGCTTGCCTGTTACCATCTCAACATTCTGCATGAACTCTCAGTGTATATATAAATACATTTTAAAAAAGCTGATTTTAAATGTAAAAATAAAAGGTTTCTCATAAAGCCATTGGAGTATTATATTTCAATATTGTTGTGGAGGCTAATGGGCAAAAATCCTAATATTTACATATACAAATAAATTAATATATTTGGAGACTTAAAATAAAATGAATAAGATAAAATCCCATGAAGCAAATGGAGTACTAAAAAGCCACACTGAGTTTGAGTCAATTGATCACATGACCTGGAACCTTTTGAGAAGTAACTCTAATATTTATAGATAAAACATTTATAAAAAATCAATGGGCAGATTTTAAAATGTAAAAATAAAGACGTGTATCTCTATTAGCCATAGATTACTATAATCCCACACTGATTTTGAGTCAGTTGATCACCTCACCTGGAAGTAAGTGAGGACAGATCCTAATATTTACAAATGTATAACAAATATTCAGAGATATAAAATGCAACAATAAAAGCTGTGCTTCAAGAAGCCAATAGAGAACTATTGTCCACATTGTTTTTGAGTTACCGGACCTTGAAGCATTTCAGCTAAAATGCTAATACATATCAAACGTCCTGAAATCCTTGTCAGAATAAAGTCAATGTCACCTATCTGAAGGATACAATAAATGTTAATGATGTAAAAAACTGGTAATGTTATTTAAAAGAGAAAGAAAATACTAAACTTTTCTCATTGGCCAGACGTAGGAATGGAAAGAAGAAAGAATGTGTGTTAAATGTATCGTCATACATATATTAACACGAAATGGAAAGATTGACTCTAACCCTACTAAGTACTGTTCAGGAACTTCGGAAGGAAAACTTACCTCTCTAACAAATTTAAAGTAATATGTGGAGTGCTGGGTAGCTATTTGCTACATACATGCATCTGGGTTTTCATCTCAGGTATTTGAGTGGCAATCCATAACTTTACTCAGGGCTCTGAGTCAAGAAACGTTTCATTGTTCACAAATATACCACATTTCTGAAAAATTATTTTTTTTTATGACTTTGTTAAGACAGTATTCCCCTCTGAATGCTACCATTCATTCTGTCCACCAGTCCATTCATGTGTGGATGTTAAGGACAACACAGACTTCTTTTGATTTTTAGTAATTTGCACACCGTTTATCTGTATTTGTAGAAAAACTGAAACAACATATTAAACCATATAGTAATTCAAAGGAGGAAGTTTAACATTTAGGATGTCTTTAATAAACTGTGTTTAGACTTATCATAAAACACATGCAACTAGATAGCAAACTGGAGTTTTTTTTTATAGCCTGTGTTTAGTGATCCTTTATATATAGATATGTATGGCATAATTCCTCACAATTTAGCATTTCTATCACTTCAGATATATGAGTAACTTTTTGTGTTAATCTGACGAGCCAGCAAATATATTTTAGATCACCTGAAGGGCAATTGTTTTAGCCTGTTTGTGTAATGTTAATCTATATTTCCCCATTCCAACTTTTTAGCACCTGCCTCCTGTAGCTCAGCTGTAACCATTGAATTAGAAAATTCTAAACTTTATGCAACAGCTAGACAATATCATTATATAACAATAATTTCTACAAATAAATCCTACAGAGCACAATTTTGATTAGAAGCTAAAATAAGAGATATGAAGAATAGGGACATACTGGCAGTACAACATAAGACTATTTTGAAGGGAGATATAGAAAAACAAGGCATGCTTACAGCTACTTTAACATCTTAACTTAAATCCTAAGGGCTATTCTAGAGTAGATTTTTTCAAGGT